AGAGAGGAAGATAATAAGACAGTCTCTCGACTAAAGGATTAAAGAGGTGGACAGTGGAAGAGAGGAAGATAATAAGACAGTCTCTCGACTAAAGGTTAGAGGTGGACAGTGGAAGAGAGGAAGATAATAAGACAGTCTCTCGACTAAAGGATTAAAGAGGTGGACAGTGGAAGAGAGGAAGATAATAAGACAGTCTCTCGATTAAAGGTTAGAGGTGGACAGTGGAAGAGAGGAAGATAATAAGACAGTCTCTCGACTAAAGGTTAGAGGTGGACAGTGGAAGAGAGGAAGATAATAAGACAGTCTCTCGACTAAAGGTTAGAGGTGGACAGTGGAAGAGAGGAAGATAATAAGACAGTCTCTCGATTAAAGGTTAGAGGTGGACAGTGGAAGAGAGGAAGATAATAAGACAGTCTCTCGACTAAAGGTTAGAGGTGGACAGTGGAAGAGAGGAAGATAATAAGACAGTCTCTCGATTAAAGGTTAGAGGTGGACAGTGGAAGAGAGGAAGATAATAAGACAGTCTCTCGACTAAAGGTTAGAGGTGGACAGTGGAAGAGAGGAAGATAATAAGACAGTCTCTCGACTAAATGTTAACTAGGCCGGATTCCGGAATCGATCAATCCTTAGGGGCGGAAGAGTGGGAGAGTAAGACGCCTGACAGATACAAGATTAGAGAGTGAGATTGCAGCTATATTTGAGACTAGACGTTCGATCATTAAATATGGTTTTGGGCAAATTTTACATACTGATAAAACAATCTTACCAAACTCGCAGTCTAAAAATACATTGATTAATTAAAACAAAATGTAAAAACACCAATGTATAATAACACGTCCACTTCACTATAAATTACAATATTTATCAAACACTCCACTCTGTAGTACAAGTCAAGTTTATTGCAATAATCTTCTCAGCAGGGAGAGATTTATTCCCGGTAAGGCAAGAGCCGTTTTAAAGCCACATATTATACGACTATGTTGTACATCTCTCTCCCGCTTACCACCCACGCCGTAAAATGTACTCCAGTGCAGTACTGAAGCGTGTTCCGTTCATTCTTATTCCAACTATGAAAAATGATATTTATCATTCCTAGTGGGAAATGGTTTTTATCATTCCTAGTGGGAAATGTAACATAAAAATTGATGTTACGGTTTTATCCGTTAAAACACCGACTTCAAGACACTTTAACAGATATCAAGAAAATGACAGTTTTTGTGTAAGATAAAAATTACCACCTTTGTTAATTTGATCTTATCAGTTATTCAATTTCACTTTGTTGCTCACACAATTTCATATCTCATTTCTTGACACCCAGCGAAATTGTAAACTAGGATATGGTACATACCAGATCTACCTAGTACCTACATCTACACTAAATTGACAATAATTGTGATATCATTTAATAATTTTACCGTCTGATTTTGATTTGACCGGTTATTGGATTGGACGACAGTTCTGCGTTCTACTTGTTCTGAAATGAACAGGTAGAACGTCAGTTTGAATGGAAATTTTCCATTCAAACTGAAATTATGATTCATCATTCATCGACCACTCAAATTTCGACGCAGATTAAAGAGATGAGATTAATATTGTACTTTTACATCGGTGCTCTGGCTAGACTGGTTTTAATCTATAAATTATGCACGTTAGCCCATCATCACTAGTATGTTACTAAAATATAGTAGTTGTACAGCAATACTAAGGTAATATACGAAACTGACAGTTGATTTGAGAGTACATGAACTGATCACCATTTTATCGATGTTGCATGTTGTAAACTCATTAGAAAAATAAGAAAAATACTCGCTAAACGGTACAAATGTTACACCTGCCCACTGTATTGGTGCACCTAGTACCGTTACCATGGTAACATACACTAGATACACTAGATCTAGTGTAATCAGTTAATAGCACTGGCAGATATTAAGAACCATTAGTGGTACCTGTACAAGGTGTACCACGTGACACGTGGTATATTATGTATAACGTACCACTCACACACCCAACACTGGGTACCATGCATAATGTTGCAATGTTCTGTATAACACACACACCCCCCCAACACTGGGTACCATGCATAATGTTGCAATGTTCTGTATAACACACACACCCACCCAACACTGGGTACCATGCATAATGTTGCAATGTTCTGTATAACACACACACCCCCCCAACACTGGGTACCATGCATAATGTTGCAATGTTCTGTGCCAACACTGGGTACCATGCATAATGTTGCAATGTTCTGTATAACACACACACCCCCCCAACACTGGGTACCATGCATAATGTTGCAATGTTCTGTATAACACACACACCCACCCAACACTGGGTACCATGCATAATGTTGCAATGTTCTGTATAACACACACACCCACCCAACACTGGGTACCATGCATAATGTTGCAATGTTCTGTATACCACACACACCCACCCAACACTGGGTACCATGCATAATGTTGCAATGTTCTGTATAACACACACACCCCCCCAACACTGGGTACCATGCATAATGTTGCAATGTTCTGTATAACACACACACCCACCCAACACTGGGTACCATGCATAATGTTGCAATGTTCTGTATAACACACACACCCACCCAACACTGGGTACCATGCATAATGTTGCAATGTTCTGTATAACACACACACCCCCCCAACACTGGGTACCATGCATAATGTTGCAATGTTCTGTATAACACACACACCCACCCAACACTGGGTACCATGCATAATGTTGCAATGTTCTGTATAACACACACACCCACCCAACACTGGGTACCATGCATAATGTTGCAATGTTCTGTGCCAACACTGGGTACCATGCATAATGTTGCAATGTTCTGTATAACACACACACCCACCCAACACTGGGTACCATGCATAATGTTGCAATGTTCTGTGCCAACACTGGGTACCATGCATAATGTTGCAATGTTCTGTATAACACACACACCCCCCCAACACTGGGTACCATGCATAATGTTGCAATGTTCTGTATAACACACACACCCCCCCAACACTGGGTACCATGCATAATGTTGCAATGTTCTGTGCCAACACTGGGTACCATGCATAATGTTGCAATGTTCTGTATAACACACACACCCCCCCAACACTGGGTACCATGCATAATGTTGCAATGTTCTGTGCCAACACTGGGTACCATGCATAATGTTGCAATGTTCTGTATAACACACACACCCACCCAACACTGGGTACCATGCATAATGTTGCAATGTTCTGTATAACACACACACCCCCCCAACACTGGGTACCATGCATAATGTTGCAATGTTCTGTGCCAACACTGGGTACCATGCATAATGTTGCAATGTTCTGTATAACACACACACCCCCCCCAACACTGGGTACCATGCATAATGTTGCAATGTTCTGTGCCAACACTGGGTACCATGCATAATGTTGCAATGTTCTGTGCCAACACTGGGTACCATGCATAATGTTGCAATGTTCTGTGCCAACACTGGGTACCATGCATAATGTTGCATGGTTCTGTGCCAAGTTTGTGGCGTCACGTGACAGTGTGTATTGCACGTGACAGTGTGTATTGCACGTGACAGTGTGTATTGCACGTGACAGTGTGTATTGCACGTGACAGTGTGTATTGCACGTTAAGGTGTGAACCTCACACATCTCTCAGTGTAGAGTGTTATCAGTAACATGGTGTTCAGACCTGTTTACAGCACTAGAATACCATTATGACTCTAGTTACAGACTCACAGAGATACTAGCCAGGTAGGTATACTAGGTGTATCACAATATACACTTCTCAGCCCTGTAACAGAGTAAAATGTACCAGATCTCCTCTTCTGTCATTTCACCAATTACATTATACTCTACATTATACTCAGCTATTATACTCTAATCTACCAATACTCTGCTATTATACTCTAATCTACCAATACTCTGCTATTATACTCTAATCTACCAATACTCTGCTATTATACTCTAATCTACCAATACTCTGCTATTATACTCTAATCTACCAATACTCTGCTATTATACTCTTAATGCACACAATAAAGTACATGCATTTTCTGGCTCTGACATTCACACGATATTCTAACTTATTACTTAATGTACGAGTGTTATTCATGTACATTTGTCTCCATCATGGCTACTGGAGGATCAGAGTTACAATCTAGATTTTACCCAGGAAATGATATCACTACATTCCTGTATTGTTGCAGCTAGTATTGTTAGTGAGTGCTCAGCAGGGAGACTGTATGTTGCCATGGTAACAGTTACCAGCGCCTGTGTATGTCATTCAATATGATGACTGTTAGTGCGGTAATAGATAAATTATTGTAAAATGTGAATTGCAAGGTTATTAGAGCTGGTTACTATAATACTGGTACTACTACTATACTGAGCTGCGGGTTGAGACAGATGTAGCAGTTACAGTTTACACATGTTACAGTTTACAGATGTATATCGTGGATTTGCAGTTAAAATCTAGGTAATTTGGTTTTAAACCAGATTACGTCCTCACGAAAGTGGGAGCTCTGGTACTATTTGAACTGTAAGTGGACAAACAGTGAGAGATGATATTCTGATTTCTGACGAAACAGTGAAATAGATGAGATTTCCTTTCGCTCTCTACCTTATATAATAATGTAATTGTAATAGTATAGAGTGTACACTACCTCTAACTGTAATAGTATAGAGTGTACACTACCTCTAATTGTAATGGTTTGGTAAACTTCCCTTTTTGTCGTTAACCATTTACCTACTAAAACAGGCTCTACAATATATATTGCTATATGTGAGCCGGTTAGTTATACTATCCGGTTCTTATTGAAGTTTCGGGCAGATTCTATCAGTGGAGCTAGGTTGTTTCCTTAACAAAACTTATAATACATCCAGAAATTGTTGTTTTCCGTTATAATGCAATTATATAACAACAACTCTAACTATCCGAGTAAATAACAATGACCTCAATTATCCACTTATAATTGTATATTTTTTCAGAGCAACAGAAGCGGCCGGAGAAGCACAATCAGTCTGAACGAGTCGTTTACAGACTCACGTGATAGCTCCAGACCCAATACTCCGGCTTACAACACTGAGATAGCAGAACTCCGAGCTAAACTACTCAAATATGAGGATGAAATGTTAGTCTCCTTTTTTTTGCTTGTTTGTTGAAATATAATTTTGTTGTGTGTTTTTAGGTTTTCGTGGCTTTTTTTGATTAATTGCCACTATTGTCATGTGATTTATCATTTATCTATTTATGTTTACCCTTGATGAAATGAAACCACGCACCCGATGTTTCTAATAATTAAAAATATAGCCTGCTAATTTATCGGAAGCTTGGTAGCTTTTTTATTTTATGGTTAAAGATAATGAAGCTCAATTAATAATTTGACCAGTTAAAATTACAGCTGCGGTTAATACCGATAAAAACATAATATGGTCATCTTCCACTAAATTTAGAGGCACCTGCCTCGACACAAACGTTAAATAAAACCCTATTCTTACGTGATCTGTCTGACAAATATAGAAACGAGTTAAGTTAAATACCGTGTCATGTTCTAGTATAAAATTAAACATTTTAATGTTACAAAATATTAGGCAGTGTTGATCACGATGAATTTTACCAAACGTGTGATGTTGTTAACGTAACGCGCGAAAACATTTCATTTCTATAAAGGCCAATTAACCTCGCGCAAAATTTCAAATTCGTTTGCACGCACGTTCTTCACAATAAACATTCGGACTTAAGATAAACTAAAAATGAGGTACTCCAGCCTCTAGCCTAACTTTCAACCAGACATCCTTATTCCTCTTCAAGCCAGTAAAAGTAACTAATGAGTTACAAAACTTCACTTCCACACGGCAGGAATACAAATTTCTTTCGGACCCGTCTGTAATAACATTTGCCGCTAAAAATTTGAACCCATTACAACTTAATCATTACACCACATGGCTCGCAGTGTACCATTTCTATTACTCAACACTAAGGCAACTCATTACCCGCCTATTGTATGACTTATGTTTACTGGATATGTGCCATCTGGGATATCACTAGGGATCTGCTTCGAGACCAGATAGTAAACTCTATGTAATAACTAATAATGTGCTCATCTGTGTATAGTAGTGTGTATAGTAGTACCTGTGTATAGTAGTACCTGTGTATAGTAGTACCTGTGTATAGTAGTGTGTATAGTAGTACCTGTGTATAGTAGTGTATAGTAGTGTGTATAGTAGTACCTGTGTATAGTAGTGTATAGTAGTGTGTTTAGTAGTACCTGTGTATAGTAGTGTATAGTAGTACCTGTGTATAGTAATGTATAGTAGTACCTGTGTATAGTAGTGTATAGTAGTGTATAGTAGTACCTGTGTATAGTAGTGTATAGTAGTACCTGTGTATAGTAATGTATAGTAGTACCTGTGTATAGTAATGTGTATAGTAGTGTGTTTAGTAGTACCTGTGTATAGTAGTACCTGTGTATAGTAGTGTATAGTAGTACCTGTGTATAGTAATGTGTATAGTAGTGTGTTTAGTAGTACCTGTGTATAGTAGTGTGTATAGTAGTACCTGTGTATACCTGTGTATAGTAGTGTGTATAGTAGTGTGTATAGTAGTACCTGTGTATACTTGTTGTCGTGTGATCACAACTTTTATGATTTATCTCTGGTCTCCGCGTCACAATCTATCTAGACTTGTAGCAACCTAACTGTTAACTTCGCAAGTATTGCAAATTGACTCCTATAATGATTTTCTTGTGTGTCGTAATCCTGAACTGTCGATTACTATCGATTTGCTGCATAATTATTCATTTACAAGTTACATTACAGCAATGCTGACAAGGTGGAGTAACTCACATAATATCACAGACTCATTACTGTTGGTCTTGAGAGACATGTAAAATATCTTGAATTCCATCTGTTTCAGCGAAACCAAGACTGATCTCATCACCCGACTGAAGGAGGAAAGTGCTGCAACTAATGAACAAATATCACGTCTAAAAAATGAGGTGAGGGACATATCAATTAAAAGTCGCCCTTGATAAAATTGTTACAGATTCATTGTTGGTCAATAAAATAGACCTTTATTTATCATTATTTGTTTCGTTGCATGCCATGTCAGGAATGTTGTAATTTAGTCAGCAAGCCATTAAAATACAGACTCCGCTGTAGAGTTTCATAAGAAAAACAGAGACCATCTCAATTACATAATCTGCATTCCTCTTAATAATAACATTTCATCGCAGTATCGGACTCTGTACGATGATGCTCAAGCTGCTAGAATTTACAGAGACGAGATAGACTCTCTGAGAACTAAGGTTGGTTAGTAAACACATACATACATGTTACGCATCTTCTAGTAAACACACCACAAATATTTTAACACTCACGTGATATTTAAACTATGTATGCCGTTCTCAGAACCACATGACGTTTTTTCTAGACGAATTGCTTGACGTGGTCATACATGAGAGCTCATAAAATAGACGGATTGCTTTTTAAAGCTATTAAAATAGACACTATTGAAGTCTTGAATTGGTTATCAATCCGTTGTCTTTCGCACAACAAATAATAAGCCATTGCCAAGGCCGAGAAGTTGGATAAATACGAAGCGGATATCGCCAAATACCGAGATAAGCTAGAGGATATGGAGTATCTAAAGAACAGAGTCAAGGAACTGAAGAATCACAACGATCAGCTCATGGAAATGAACGAGCTGCTGAAGGAGGAGCTTGTCAGTTCAGAGCAGATCAATAAAGCTATGATAGGTGAATGATAATCACTCATTATATACCACTGAACTAATTAATTATGTATAAAATTAACTTAAATCATAGTTTTAAGTCGCCGAACTTCTTTTGCCGGTCGCTGTTTTATAGGCATGAAATAATCGGCATATCTTATGATTGTCGACTAACGTGCATGACAATTTGATACCCACGTCATGATTTGTGGTCTAGTTTAAAGTCATGTTTCAGACAGGGCCCCCTATATCGTACTGATCAAGGAGCACTACCCAGAGGCATTAAACCTACTAATCCTAACGTTTCTCAGCTGAGGAAGAAAAGAACATAAAATTACGCGCAATGTTAGAAGAACTCAGTGCACAAAAGGAGTACGGTGATAGGGTTATACAGGACATGACCAATAAGAAGAAACAGGTCGAACTTGAACTCAAACACAGGTTAGTTTCTGTTTGGATTTGTATGCACAAGAAATAGGTCTTTAGATTTTTGCAACAAATACCCATGCTACTTGATTAATGTACTTTTGTCGCCACGCCTTACCTTAGCTGGTGTAGTAAGTGCAAGGTTTCTATGTGATGAGATCTAATGATTATTGATTACCCTACTGCTCCTTTATAATATCTCTAGAGAAGTAGATGTCGTGTCACAACGATTTTAAGCCTTCTTGAGGTACATACGCTTGGGCTTCACTTCAATTTTCAGTGCCAATATGATATCACAAATGCAGAAGGAAATAGATGAACTCACAGCATCCAACAACGAAATAAGGTAAAATAAGATCTAATCAATAATCATCACAATATGCCTCATCATTTCGTATCGGCGTACCTGATCAACTCAAGGTTCAAATTTCAAATTATTTATAAGATTTCTTATCCGATTCTGATTGATTTTGTCCCAGAGCGGCTTCTAAAAATTGGAAGTAAGTAATAAAAGAGCACTGTAGCTGTGTGATCAGCAATTCGGCTGGTGTTCTGTTGCTTTGCTGTTTTCTTAACGATCGCTTACAATTACTCACTAGTCTTAATGACTTCAAGGGCAGTTTACAATTAATTCAGTTGGTTTGATATCTGCTATTTTAAAATCTGTTTCAATTCAAAGAAAATGTCTAGACCACTCGCTCTTGAACGCAAACGAAAATTTGCGTTCAACACTCAATGCTCCGTTTTGGTACTACGTACAACACAGCCTCATTCAAACACAATTTTTAGGACATATAATAATCAATTGTATTAATCGCTTGAATAAAACCTCCTTTTAAAGAAATGATAATATACCTCCCCCCAGGATGGCCATGTTGGAACGGGACGGTGTAACTGACTCACACAAGTACGTGACAATCGAGAAGGAACTGTCTCTCGATGATAACGGACAAACTCCCATCATCAACAGACGCCGCAGTAAGTTTTATATCGCTGCTGAGAGAGGGGTGGGTTACTGCTGAGAGAGGGGTGGGTTACTACTGAGAGAGGGGTGGGTTACTACTGAGAGAGGGGTGGGTTACTGCTGAGAGAGGGGTGGGTTACTGCTGAGAGAGGGGTGGGTTACTACTGAGAGAGGGGTGGGTTACTACTGAGAGAGGGGTGGGTTACTACTGAGAGAGGGGTGGGTTACTGCTGAGAGAGGGGTGGGTTACTACTGAGAGAGGGGTGGGTTACTAGTGAGAGAGGGGTGGGTTACTACTGAGAGAGGGGTGGGTTACTACTGAGAGAGGGGTGGGTTACTACTGAGAGAGGGGTGGGTTACTGCTGGGAGAGGGGTGGGCTACTACTGAGAGAGGGTTGGGTTACTGCTGAGAGAGGGGTGGGTTACTGCTGAGAGAGGGGTGGGTTACTACTGAGAGAGGGGTGGGTTACTACTGAGAGAGGGGTGGGTTACTACTGAGAGAGGGGTGGGTTACTACTGAGAGAGGGGTGGGTTACTACTGAGAGAGGGGTGGGTTACTGCTGAGAGAGGGGTGGGTTACTGCTGAGAGAGGGGTGGGTTACTGCTGAGAGAGGGGTGGGTTACTACTGAGAGAGAGGTGGGTTACTACTGAGAGAGGGGTGGGTTACTACTGAGAGAGGGGTGGGTTACTGCTGAGAGAGGGGTGGGTTACTGCTGAGAGAGGGGTGGGTTACTGCTGAGAGAGGGGTGGGTTACTGCTGAGAGAGGGGTGGGTTACTGCTGAGAGAGGGGTGGGTTACTGCTGAGAGAGGGTGGGTTACTGCTGAGAGAGGGTGGGTTACTACTGAGAGAGGGTTGGGTTACTGCTGAGAGAGGGGTGGGTTACTACTGAGAGAGGGGTGGGTTACTACTGAGAGAGGGGTGGGTTACTACTGAGAGAGGGGTGGGTTACTACTGAGAGAGGGGTGGTTTACTACTGAGAGAGGGGTGGGTTACTGCTGAGAGAGGGGTGGGTTACTGCTGAGAGAGGGGTGGGTTACTGCTGAGAGAGGGGTGGGATACTACGGACGCGGAGAGAGGGGTGGGTTACTACTGAGAGAGGGGTGGGTTACTACTGAGAGAGGGGTGGGTTACTGCTGGGAGAGGGGTGGGCTACTACTGAGAGAGGGGTGGGTTACTGCTGAGAGAGGGGTGGGTTACTGCTGAGAGAGGGGTGGGTTACTGCTGAGAGAGGGGTGGGTTACTGCTGAGAAAAGGGTGGGTTACTGCTGAGAGAGGGGTGGGTTACTGCTGAGAGAGGGGTGGGTTACTACTGAGAGAGGGGTGGGTTACTACTGAGAGAGGGGTGGGTTACTGCTGAGAGAGGGGTGGGTTACTACTGAGAGAGGGATGGGTTACTACTGAGAGAGGGGTGGGTTACTGCTGAGAGAGGGGTGGGTTACTGCTGAGAGAGGGGTGGGTTACTGCTGAGAGAGGGGTGGGTTACTGCTGAGAGAGGGGTGGGTTACTACTGAGAGAGGGGTGGGTTACTGCTGAGAGAGGGGTGGGTTACTGCTGAGAGAGGGTGGGTTACTGCTGAGAGAGGGTGGGTTACTACTGAGAGAGGGGTGGGTTACTACTGAGAGAGGGTGGGTTACTGCTGAGAGAGGGTGGGTAACTGCTGAGAGAGGGTGGGTTACTACTGAGAGAGGGTTGGGTTACTGCTGAGAGAGGGGTGGGTTACTACTGAGAGAGGGGTGGGTTACTACTGAGAGAGGGGTGGGTTACTACTGAGAGAGGGGTGGGTTACTACTGAGAGAGGGGTGGTTTACTACTGAGAGAGGGGTGGGTTACTGCTGAGAGAGGGGTGGGTTACTGCTGAGAGAGGGGTGGGTTACTACTGAGAGAGGGGTGGGTTACTACTGAGAGAGGGGTGGTTTACTACTGAGAGAGGGGTGGGTTACTGCTGAGAGAGGGGTGGGTTACTGCTGAGAGAGGGGTGGGTTACTGCTGAGAGAGGGGTGGGTTACTACTGAGAGAGGGGTGGGTTACTACTGAGAGAGGGGTGGGTTACTACTGAGAGAGGGGTGGGTTACTGCAGGGAGAGGGGTGGGCTACTACTGAGAGAGGGGTGGGTTACTACTGAGAGAGGGGTGGGTTACTGCTGAGAGAGGGGTGGGTTACTACTGAGAGAGGGGTGGGTTACTGTTGAGAGAGGGGTGAGTTACTGCTGAGAGAGGGGTGGGTTACTGCTGAGAGAGGGGTGGGTTACTGCTGAGAGAGGGGTGGGTTACTGCTGAGAGAGGGGTGGGTTACTACTGAGAGAGGGGTGGGTTACTACTGAGAGAGGGGTGGGTTACTACTGAGAGAGGGGTGGGTTACTACTGAGAGAGGGGTGAGTTACTGCTGAGAGAGGGGTGGGTTACTACTGAGAGAGGGGTGGGTTACTGCTGAGAGAGGGGTGGGTTACTACTGAGAGAGGGGTGGGTTACTACTGAGAGAGGGGTGGGTTACTACTGAGAGAGGGGTGGGTTACTGCTGAGAGAGGGGTGGGTTACTACTGAGAGAGGGGTGGGTTACTACTGAGAGAGGGGTAGGTTACTACTGAGAGAGGGTGGGTTACTACTGAGAGAGGGGTGGGTTACTGCAGAGAGATGGGTGTGTTACTGCTGAGAGAGGGGCAGGTTACTGCTGAGAGAGGGGTGGGTCACTGCTGAGAGAGGGGCGGGTTACTGCTGAGAGAGGGGTGGGTTACTGTTGAGAGAGGGGTGGGTTACTACTGAGAGAGGGGTGGGTTACTGCTGAGAGAGGGGTGGGTTACTACTGAGAGAGGGGTGGGTTACTACTGAGAGAGGGTTGGGTTACTGCTGAGAGAGGGGTGGGTTACTGCTGAGAGAGGGGCGGGTTACTGCTGAGAGAGGGGTGGGTTACTACTGAGAGAGGGGTGGGTTACTACTGAGAGAGGGGTGGGTTACTGCTGAGAGAGGGGTGGGTTACTACTGAGAGAGGGGTGGGTTACTGCTGAGAGAGGGGTGGGTTACTGCTGGGAGAGGGGTGGGTTACTGCTGAGAGAGGGGTGGGTTACTGCTGAGAGAGGGGTGGGTTACTACTGAGAGAGGGATGGGTTACTACTGAGAGAGGGGTGGGTTACTACTGAGAGAGATGTGGGTTACTACTGAGAGAGGGATGGGTTACTACTGAGAGAGGGGTGGGTTACTACTGAGAGAGGGGTGGGTTACTGCTGGGAGAGTGGTGGGTTACTACTGAGGGAGGGGTGGGTTACTACTGAGAGAGGGGTGTGTTACTGCTGAGAGAGGGGTGGGTTACTACTGAGAGAGGGATGGGTTACTACTGAGAGAGGGGTGGGTTACTACTGAGAGAGGGATGGGTTACTGCTGGGAGAGGGGTGGGTTACTGCTGAGAGAGGGATGGGTTACTGCTGAGAGAGGGGTGGGTTACTGCTGAAAGAGGGGTGGGTTACTACTGAGAGAGGGGTGGGTTACTGCTGAGAGAGGGGTGGGTTACTACTGAGAGAGGGGTGGGTTACTGCTGAGAGAGGGGTGGGTTACTGCTGAGAGAGGGGTGGGTTACTGCTGAGAGAGGGATGGGTTACTGCTGAGAGAGGGGTGGGTTACTACTGAGAGAGGGGTGGGTTACTGCTGAGAGAGGGGTGGGTTACTACTGAGAGAGGGGTGGGTTACTACTGAGAGAGGGGTGGGTTACTACTGAGAGAGGGGTGGGTTACTACTGAGAGAGGGGTGGGTTACTGCTGAGAGAGGGGTGGGTTACTACTGAGAGAGGGGTTGGTTACTACTGAGAGAGGGGTGGGTTACTGAGAACCAGATGCCATCCATGTTTTGTTGTTTATTGTTATTTATTTATGATTTACTATACCCGTAATATATATCCGTCAAAAATTTAGAATCAAAAGATAATGAATACTAGAATGTGAGGTGAGATTGTGATAATTAACATTAACTTTCCGAATTGTCCTTAGGAGATTGCCTCAAAATAGCCTCCCAATCCTCTAAAAGGTGGCAGTGAGTGAATTTATTGTGAGGTGACCAATGATTTGAGTGATTATTCTGTCAGAGTGGATAACAAGTCACATGCGAAATGTGATCTCTTTGAATAGCAGCTTTTCCGTTTAGTTTTTCTTATTTAGGAGATATGGGCTCTGCCCAGAGCTCCATGTTTTTTAGTTGGGCGCACTTGAGCCCGATTCTCTTATCTATTTTTTTCCTGAGAAAACGGGTGAAATGCATGATTGCATTTCAACAAAGGAAAAAGTTAACCCCGACTTTTGTCCAAATTGTCAGAATCCTCTTAAAAGCTCTGCAACATCCAAGATAATACTTAGATCTTCTGATTTAAACATCTTTTCATCATTTCCTATTCATGTTTTCACTTCATGACATCTGAAGTCTGAATGGTTTATCTTAAATCACAGGCACCGTTTGGGAAGGAAGCAAAGATGAGTCTATGAGCACAGAAGTACAGAACAGCAAGATAAAGCGACTCGAAATGGATAACTTGCATCTCAAAACTCAAACAGAAAACTTGAGGAATTCTAACGCTAAGGTATGTAACCCGATTTACCGAGATCCCCGATTTACCACGGCTGTTTCCTTCCCCAAAACTCCGCGGTAAATCGGGGTTTTACTTAACGATATATGTAAATGATAAGCATTAATTTTATTATCTTCAGGATATTGAAGTATTGAATAAAGTAATAAAGTAAACTTTTGTTGTTTGTACAATATCCCCCATGTTATAAAGTGCAAGGTTCCCTCATACAGATATTGCATGAAACCACATAATATGTATCATAAATAAGTCGTCTATTTATTGTCAAACCACCATATTATCATAACACCATTTACTGCACATGTTCCCTTTATTATTCGCGTTAATGTTTGGAAATAGCTCGTTAAATACTTAGACAATTTGGGCCGGGGATGTGAAAGCAGAGTAGTGCCCTTATATGGACATCACGTGTAGTAATAGTATACACTCCTTATATGGGCATCACGTGGTACCTACACCCCTGCAGAGTAGCTTGCTTGTCAACAGTTGCTAGAAAAAATGGTTTCATACTTTTTACCGTATTTAAGTTGATTTACTAAAAGAATTTTTCCACCATTTAGCTGCAAATGCTGGAACAGAACACTGAAAAAGATAAGCTTCAACTCGACACGAACAAAGCAGAGCTTGTCAGACTCCAGGAACAGATCAATCTCGAGGTTTTTTAGCTTAATTCTAATTTGTAATTTTCTTTGATTTGTAACTTCACTTCTTTCTAATTATCGTGGCTATCCTTTGGCGGGTAAATTCATATTAATCATCTCCATAGAAAACAAGAGTGGAAGGTTTTCAACAGAAGCTATCAGAAGCACATATCATCTTGAAAGAGATTGGTTACGATACTGAAAAACTAAACGAAGTGAACGTTATCAGCGACAGAGAGTAAGCTATATTTAAGCGGTTTTTGATAATAACATATAAATTCAATGGAGCTTGAAGACAAAATTGGTTTCACCCTTGAAACTTATTGTTGCACACAATGTTTTGGAAAACTGCAACATGCTTTCCTTTCCAGGAAGTTCCTCAAGTATGAAGAAAGGTTGAAACAAAGTCTAAATCATTCTCTAAAGATGAAAGAAGAACGCATTTCAGTTTTAGAAGATCGAGTTAAAGAAAATACCAACCAAAATGACAGTCTTAGACAGGTTTAAACATGGCCCCTGCTGTCTGTCAAATTCCGTTAATTTCTTCTGATTTAAGTAGATTTAACTTTAGAACACTGTAAGTTGATGTATTATGTTGTTCTTGTCTCAACAGGAGTTGTCAATAATAAAGCGGCAGAACAAGAGTTACCAGAAACAAAACAAGAGTTTACAACAGAGTCTTGACGAAAGTGTCACCAGGTAAAAAGCACTAATGACCAAGTTATCCTGTTCGTTTGAATGTTTGAAAACTGCTGGAGTAATTTTTATTTTCGAACTCCGTATTCTACTGACAACTAAAGTTCTGTTGGCTAAACACAACAACACGAGCAATATAACCATATCCCACAGCATCAGCACGTCTCCATCGCGTCGTATAAGTAAAGGAAGCCAATACGAACATCACGTCTCTCTCTCCTCTACTCCAATAAAACAGGAACATCACGTCTCTCTCTCCTCTACTCCAATAAAACAGAGGCTCTCCGCCTCCCTCGCCCTGACTCCCATCAGCAATATCTCATCTATTAAAGAAAACAGTAAGTATTAAGTAGTGGTACACCTCTCCAACCTTATCATAGACCATATACTACATAATACTATATATTACGTGACAAAATACTTAGTAGCATAGGGCGTTTTTTCTAAAAGTTCAGAAATCTTTGCGCCGAATAAATGTGTGCGTGGTTAAACCTGCCTTCAGTGCTTGGTTGCATAACGCATATCTATCGCACATATGAATTTATATTTGAAATGCACGCTTGTTAATGAAGCGCACATTCTTAATGGTAAAACTGTGCAACTCGCTCGATTAAACCCAATTTTCATCTGCAGAAATACCAGAATGCAGTATGAATTCCACTATTGTGTGCTATTTTTCACGTGATAATTTTAGTCCGTATATCCATTATCTAACCACGACCTGCTTTGACAATTAATTACCCCACCTTGCCAGCTGATGAGTAATTATTGTAAATACTAATCATCATTTATCAGAGCTGCTCAACTAATTACTTTAATTATTTGCTGCTAATTACTTTAATTATTTGATAATTTCAGACGAGAATAAGTCGCCCAACAAATCAGAAATCCTTGATGTCAGCTATGAATCGTGAGTCTATTTTTTCATTCCATTAGTGAATTCTACAGAATTTTATTTTTGACGACATCTCATAGACATCTCATCAGCGGGTAATTGAAATTAAGGCCCAATAGCTAATGAGCTGGTTTTTGTTAATCAAAATCACTGTAATCACTTCCTTAAGTTCAATTAATAATAAAATGATTTATAATGAACTCGTTCAGTCTTTCTAAAAAATTTAACTTTGCTTGCAGCTAGTCGGCGCGTCGCGATGTTTAAATTTCCGCAGCTAAGTTTCAAGATTTAGTTAGACCTGTCAGGCTATGAGGCTAACTAATTCTTGCTGCTGTCATTTAAAATAGAAAACTGATAACCAATCGAGCATTTATAATAAGAGTTTCAGACTGTTTCGATTCGCATTCCGTTCATTTTAGGTTGGTTATTTAAATACTAGATTCTGTATTATATCGTCTCACTACTAGTGTTAAGTGTACCACTACTAGGGTACACATACCACCACCATATAAATTATGAATGCACCATGTTTCAAGCTCTTATACTGCCGAATTATGTGATTTTGTTCGAGTTGATGGTAATCATTACCGACTATTTCCTATCCACGTCTCATGTTCTGACGTCACAGCCACGTTTTTTAATTTATTCCATCGGAGACAGACGTCTGGATTTATTTTTCCCAACGGTTATCGATGAAATATGACGCTCTCTTCTTCGTGAATGTCTATGATTTTTATAATGTTCAGACTTACGCTTTACTCGGCGAAACATTAAATGCGAGGACTTGCTACGTAGTGAAACAGTTGAATGCATTGTTCAGATTACAACTGCTATATCTTCATCCTCTGTAGCCTGTAGTGTGTTTTATCAGCAGTCAGTACAAAATTGCCATTAAAATCTTAAAATGTCCTCATTTCCTCACTCCTCTGTTTATTTGCTAATACAAAAATCGGTTTTAAATTTACGGAAGATGTTGCAAAGGTTCTAAGACGAAAGATGACGACATCACTTATTCACTTTTACCCTTTACTTGTGTTTTTGTGAAACAAACATCATTTTGCATCCTTAATGAGTGCAAGCCGCAAGGGTCCTTTTGTTGTATGACCGAAGTAGGTCTACAAATTTCCATAAAAACATGGATGGGTGGGATTCAGGCTAATCTTAATTGAACTTACCCCTCTCTGCTACTAGAGTATTACCCCTCCCTGCTACTAGAGTATTACCCCTATTTCCACATCGTGCTCACTTAAAAACAATAGTCCCCTCCTTAGGGGGTCGTTACATATTATTAGGGGTGGGAACGGGCTTCTAAGGAGTGAGTACCTTGAGGGAGATTATATTATGCAATAGTTCAACTTGGCGTGATGAGGTACAACTTTGTAGGACACAGCATCATCACTTTCATAGTAGTCCCCGGCTTATGACGGGTTTATAGCGGTATTAAACATGTTTTTCTGGGTCCAAATATTCTACGCTCCTACTATGCTATGACTGGTCTCTTGACTAACTCCCAATCATCTGTCCATACGGTGGTGTTTCTGGACAGATAGATGATATACGAATTCCTCAGGCTGATTTCAGCAATCTTCATACAGGCCTTCGTTTTCTCTTTAGTCTTTAGGTTCAGATGGTTCATAAAGGTTTGGAGGCTGTAGTCGTGCTCCCACTTCTACTGTCTCTGGAGCTTGCAAGCTTATCCGTTGGCTTCTATCTCTTCTGTCAGCTGCTGATATCTTTTCAGCTTTCTTTTCTCTTGATCAGCAAAGTTCTGTTAATTTCCAAACTAGTTTAATTTTAACACAATAGCTACATGTAAAAGTGATTACTGATGGGGTTAAAAATGGACCAAAAAGTGTTTTAAATGTAACATGTTAACGACCCCTCAGCTCAAATATATAAAATGCCACTGTCATCATGGCTACTCCCGCCACATGCAGAGGGTATGGATATTACCAGTGTATACTGTATAGGATCCAAACCGAGTTACTACCTGTCATTAGATGTCCACTGTTATCTTAGCCCTACAACATTAAAAGTCAAATTTTTGCCTTGACTTAAGTATAAATGTCGTGTGATTTGTTCATTTGTATGTATATATTATATCTTACAAATGACCAAATCAATATAATATAATAGATATATCTTTGTATTCTGTATCCATTCAGTTACTATGAAGCATGATTAGATTGGTGTTTCTAACAGTAAAAGGTAAGAAGTCTGAATCATGATGTGTATCTTAGCCTAGTTTTAGGTCTATCTGGTCAACAGAGCTTTAGGACTTGATTTTAAACGATGTTACGTTAATATGATAGTTGGTTGTGTCTTTTATTTTCGCCGGACTGTCACAGGTTAGACACGCTGAACGTGCAAATTCTTTAATTACAGTGTATCAGTGTATGGAGTAGCGGTATCAGCGTGGGATCTACACGAATGTAATAATTATATTAATAATTCTACTTTTCTACTAATTGTTGAGCATCGGAACTAGGAACACCAGCTCCTACTTCCTAGCCAGCATGTATCGAGAAACAATAAAAATATCAATAAAATCCAACCCAATAGTCTGGGTGCACCTGTAAACTTATAAGAAATGGGAGAAATGAGTGGTGTAATTTAGAGAATGTTTATAAGTTTGGCCACATAATTTTTGTTGGAACACTTAGGAAGTCTGCGCGGTTTTTGGTTTCCTGAGAACTACATACACAATACACTGAGAACTATTGAGATTCCGACCGTTTAGAGAGGGATACTACACAACATACACAATACACTGAGAACTATTGAGATTCCGACCGTTTAGAGAGGGATACTACACAACATACACATACTACAGAGAACACTAGAGAACCACCTGGCCACAATTTTAACCCCAGCAAGTCCGGTATCTGCATGCGGTATAGGATGGCATGATGATTGTTATAACGGAATCAGCAGCTTTATTTAAACATATTATTATGTTTTGTATATGTTATCTAAGAGATGATGACTCATGAGAAATAATGAACGTTTCTTGTCGACGAATGCGATTGAAACCCATATCCGACGTGTTAGAGAGCCTAATTTAGGGTTTAAACAATTTAGTAATCTCGATTCTCTTTGTTTCCATGTCGGTTGTAACCCGTGCAAGGCGTGGATTACAATTGACTCCAATTTGTCCGCTTTTATTGCACAGTTCTTTGGTTTTATTCTTATAATTGCGCTCTTGATGTTGTTTTCAGAAAAAACATTTCAACTTGCACTTAAATGAAGGAAATAGTATTTCACTTTGTTATTTTCCATATTATTCCATAAGGGAATGCGAATTTTCCGTGAGCATTGCAGTTTCAATCTGAAGACCTAAGTCAAAGCACTGTTTACATGGTTCCCAGCCTCATCGTAGTTCCTGACATGTTCAGCCGCAGAGGCCGTCCTCCTTTGTTCCCGCAGTTTGGCATCGCGGTGGATCTGGTCGGCGATTCTAAAAACAAATCCTTGTGTTTCACAAACGGCAGTGCGAGCAGGTTCAATGTTTTGATGTCGTGCTCTCAGAAACGAAGTAAAACTAGTACACGAGTAGCACTAGCTGATGCAAAACGGTTTAAAAGAAAATAATACTACCCATTTATCATTTGTCTTCCTAATTAGCGACAAGCGTGCAAATGCGTTATTATTTCCGCTATCCTCAATCGATATGTTCTATTTCCCCGACATATTCAGTTACGGAAGAAATTGATAATTTCTAGAATTTCACCATGACATATTAATGAGTAGTTGGATAATGTCGCGAGTAATTCAGCTGAGAAGGAACATTATCACTAATCAGTTGCTCGTTTCAGTGTGTCGCACTATATAGTGACAACACTATATAGTGACAACACTATATAGTGACAACACTATATAGTGACAACACTATATAGTGACAACACTATATAGTGACAACACTATATAGTGACAACACTATATAGTGACAACACTATATAGTGACAACACTATATAGTGACAACACTATATATAGTGACAACACTATATATAGTGACAACACTATATAGTGACAACACTATATAGTGACAACACTATATAGTGACAACACTATATAGTGACAACACTATATAGTGACAACACTATATAGTGACAACACTATATAGTGACAACACTATATAGTGACAACACTATATAGTGACAACACTATATAGTGACAACACTATATAGTGACAACACTATATAGTGACAACACTATATATAGTGACAACACTATATAGTGACAACACTATATAGTGACAACACTATATAGTGACAACACTATATAGTGACAACACTATATAGTGACAACACTATATAGTGACAACACTATATAGTGACAACACTATATAGTGACAACACTATATAGTGACAACACTATATAGTGACAACACTATATAGTGACAACACTATATAGTGACAACACTATATTTTCAGTGTGTCGCACTATATAGTGACAACACTATATTTTCAGTGTGTCGCACTATATAGTGACAACACTATATTTTCAGTGTGTCGCACTATATAGTGACAACACTATATAGTGACAACACTATATAGTGACAACACTATACAGTGACAACACTATATAGTGACAACACTATATAGTGACAACACTATATAGTGACAACACTATATTTTCAGTGTGTCGCACTATATAGTGACAACACTATATAGTGACAACACTATATTTTCAGTGTGTCGCACTATATAGTGACAACACTATATTTCCAGTGTGTCGCACTATATAGTGACAACACTATATAGTGACAACACTATATAGTGACAACACTATATTTTCAGTGTGTCGCACTATATAGTGACAACACTATATTTTCAGTGTGTCTCTGTCGGAGAGTAGAGCAGCGTTAGAGCTACTCAGACAGGACTGTGTAGATCTGAAGGAGGAGAATGATCAGCTCTTCCTTGACAGGGAGCGATTAGAGGTAACTGCAATTTAATTGTAATAAGTTAATATTTAGTTTCATTGTAATATTTAATTAATTAATATTTAATCTTATTGTAAATGTTAAAGTGAACACTAAGTGGGACAACACTTCAGAGTGAAATCAATTAGTTGTCCTGTTTTTTAGAATTGGAAGCTCAAACTTCTAGCATTAAGATAAGCGCTAACTTGATCACTGATCGTTGTATTTACAGCAAGAAGTGCAGGAACTGCAATTAGAACGCAAGTCTCACCTGACAGAAATACAGAATCTTCGAGAGAAACACATTGACTCAAAGAGCGATGTAAGTGTTGCGAAAGACACGTTTTTTCTTTTTTATATTTATCTATTTCTAGATGCAACACTGGACATTTCTAGAATCTCTATCGTGTTTATCTTTGTGTCTTCCACTGTGGATATTCCCAGTAACTATGGTAACTATTCCCAGGTATCAGGTATGGTAACTATGGTAACTATTCCCAGGTATCAGACCTAGATCGTGAGAATAAGAAGAAGTCCATGAAGTTGGAAGAGTTCGAGATAGCGTGCACTGCTTTGGAGGACATGAACGAGAAACTGAAGAGGGCGTGCGAGGAGCTGGAGAATGAGAAGAATTACATGAATGCACAGTGTAATAAGCTACTCATACAGGTCATTATACTAATTATACTAATTGTACTAATTGGGGTAACTAATTTAGTTGTTAATAAATTAGATAATTGTGCATTTAATCAACTTAATTGGGGTACGAAGTGGCCTGGTAAGTTTTATAATTACGTCATTTTAGCATTTTCCTTCCCTCCCCACTCATATTAATATTAATTATAGTCATTAGCCCTAGGCCTAATACTGAATATATCATCATTTCCCAGGGGCGTGTTTACACACATGCGCCGTTCCACAAACACCACGTGACGTCATCACAAACACCACGTGACGTCATCACAAACACCACGTGACGTCATCACAACATCACGTGACGTCATCACAAACACCACGTGACGTCATCACAAACACCACGTGACAGGCACACAACAACACACAAAACATTACACAGTACAAACAATCGCCCAACCACACGGACACACACACACCTCATATCCGGGTCTCCCTTGCTCAATCTCCGCAAGCAATCTCCCCACCGCTCCGTGCACTGCTGCAATTACCTTCTCATATCTGCTTAGCTGATGCTGTATTACTAGCTTGCTCAGTACGGTTAACGTAGCAGTTACTCCGTATATTAGCTTGTTCTTGTTCAGTAATATCGTGAGTAGTCATTGTGAGTAGTCAGCTATATTGCCTGAGTAGTCAGCTGTCTCTTCCTTCTTCTCATTGGCAGATTGTTGGACATTGTTTGGTTGTTAATTTGTCTGCTGCGTTTACTGCCGTCTGCTTGTCTCTCTTACAGTTAACAGTAGTGATATTCGAACAGGTCAGCACTTTACTGTTAAACTGATGATATGCTGACCTAGACCTGTTGAAATTGATGTGAAATACAGTAGGAAAAAAGTATGAAATTAATCAGTAGATTATAATATTTACAAACCCACCGCTATGAAGATTCGACTGGTTACATCTAGACAGAATATTATATATTAGATAGTCACAGTCTTGCTGATTTGTTGTCCCTGAGGTTAATATGCTTCACATGTTACGTCAGGTGAGGGGGTTACGTCAGCATCTGGGGTGAGGGGGTTACGTCAGCATCTGGGGTGAGGGGGTTTACGAAATTGACTGGAATTATGACGTGGGTCTGAAAATTCATAAAATCTTGTGACGTTTTATATGAAAGGTTCCTGCTTACCCCTTTCAATTCTCATATCTGATATCTGCCACGACCCACTTTGTATGAGAGGTGATGTGTTATATATTGTGTGTGTGTGTGTGTGTGTGTGTGTGTGTGTGTGTGTGTGTGTGTGTGTGTGTGTGTGTGTGGGTGTGTGTGTATTTCCTCGTGTCAACCACCCCTGATAGGGTTAATTATTTGGGTAATACCTTCTCATCTTACACCTTACCCTGCATGTACTGTGCTGGTCCTGTATTTCAGTTAATTGGTTTGGGCTGGTAACGGTTGAAACACAGTGTAACAGATGTTCAGCAAAATATATTTCTTGTACTTGACGTAAGACCGATTTAATCGAGTACTGATATTATCGACTATTATCTTATTTCTGGGAAATTTCTGATCATTTCCGATTATACTGTTTGATGACAATGTTATGATATTGAGTAAGACGATAAGATGTTATGTGACGACATATTACAACTAAACGTCATATCCATTAGGTCCTTATCATGATATCATCTTACTTACAACATCGTGATCACTGATTCTTATCGAAAACGATTAGAAAATATCCAGCGAGATCGATACATACTAATATATATAATACATACTAACATGCAATAGTATTTCCAGCGCTTTCGCATCCCTTAATATCAATATGGCATTAGACTGATTTAATTGAGTATTTTTGTCGAGTATTATTTGATGATTCATATCGTCTCATTGGTTCCGATTAGACTGATAAGTGACGATGTTGCAATATAAAAGGGAAGTAGATGTTACGTGACGTCATATTAGAACCTCACATTCATTAGACCCGTATCACGGGTCACACCACTACAGACTACCTAACTAGGTTTAACCTGATCTCAGCTTAGCATCGTATAACTGTCGACATTTGAAACCGGTTTAATTTGTCTGCCAAGCCCTCTATTGCAACTGTAATTGTTAGGGCCGTTATTCTAGCTTCGTTTACCGTTATATTATATTGGTTTGCCTTGTGGACTCTCAACACCTTGTTTTGAGGAAGTTTGGTAATTTAGTAAGTTATGTCATATTGTCTTGTGTCAACTTTTCTCCTTGTTTTGGCTTTGGTTTGTTCCCCGTAGACAAATTATTGAGCTTGATATTCCGGAATATTTATGTTTTCTTTAAAAACCTTCAAATGACTCTGTCTCTTAACGGTAAATGTCATTAATCTAATGTTGTCTGTTGACATCTTGTAAAAAGAGCAGCCATTGAGCCATATCATTGCTGCTCAGAATTCTGGTTGTTTCATTCTCCTCTTGTCCTGTTTGTTCAGAATTTTACTTGCTTTGTTTTCGTCAAATATTTGTATTTTGATTCCCTCTGGACATCACTTTTTTGTAACTCTCCACATAAATCGCAGCTGGCAGCATGACGCGGGGACACTACAATCTCAGGATAAACTACAGCTTAAATGACAATTACTACCACGTGCCATGTCACAATATGACGTCAACACAACACCACGTGACGTCATCACAACACCACGTGACGTCATCACAACACCACGTGGCTTCACCTTACTATCACGATCTCTCGCCTTGCAACGACGCCACATCCCCGGTCTACCAAGAGATACCCTCTCCATTTGACAAATCTCCCCTGTACTTCAAAATACCATCGCCTGATCTTAACACTGACGGTTTGAGAGAGAAACTGAGATCAGAAGTTCCCAAATATTTTACGTTCCTCTCCACACAGGTCTCAGCATTTGGGTGATTTTGTAGGGACAGTTTCCGGGTTTATTTGTCAGGGGGGGGTATTTATCAGGGGGGGGGGTTGTATTTATCAGGGGGGGGGGGGTATTTATCAGGGGGGGGGGTATTTATCAGGGGGGGGTGTATTTATCAGGGGGGGGGGGGTTGTCATTCTAGTTTTAAAACTTACCAGAACTCAGTTCAGCCATTATTATATTTCAGTCATGTAACGGTGGATTCCTTTCAATAACAGATCTTATTTTGCTCAGAATCAAGAACTATTGATAAAAACTATTGAGGACCAGGAGAAGAATAGAGAAGAGACAAGGGTCTTTCAGGATCAGGTAATTACGGTAATTAGATAATTACCAAGATCAGGTAATTAGGTAATTATACCCTTCCAGGATCAGGTAATAAGGTTAATTAGGTTATTACCAGGATCAGGTAATTAGGTAATTAGCAGAATCATGTAAATAGTCCCTTCCTTCCATGATCAGGCAATTAGGGTAATTAGGTAATTATTCCCTTCCAGGATCAGGTAATTATTCCCTTCCAGGATCAGGTAATTATTCCCTTCCAGGATCAGGTAATTATTCCATTCCAGGATCAGGCAATTATTCCCTTCCAGGATCAGGTAATTATTCCCTTCCAGGATCAGGCAATTATTCCCTTCCAGGATCAGGTAATTATTCCCTTCCAGGATCAGGTAATTATTCCCTTCCAGGATCAGGCAATTATTCCCTTCCAGGATCAGGTAATTATTCCCTTACAGGATCAGGTAATTATTCCCTTCCAGGATCAGGTAATTATTCCCTCCATACGTTTATGTATTTCGATTCGTCAGAAATATATCAACATTGAATTGCTTAAGTATGCAACACCGATTTGCTATTTATATCAATGATGTGCTAATACGAAAATAATTCCCCACAGATTATGAGTATGAAACAAGACAACCAGGCATTAGCGATGAGTATCGCTCTTAAATCACAAACTTCTGAGAGCTCTAAAAAGAAACCATTCTACAAAGCCCTGTTCAAATCGAAGAAAGCAAAAGTAAGATCTTATCTCTGCTTAATACCATTACATTTATAGGAGATTTCTCTTCAAATCCATGTGTTAAGTGAATAATAATTGTAATATCTTTAAAAGAAAGCTCAAACGTTCCATCCCACAGACGAAAGAAGAGATGGCAGGTGGTACCCCCAATATAGACGAGTATATAGAGCAGCTGAGTCTAGATAGCGCTGAAAGACTGACTCCTCCTGAATACGATAGCAATGGATATTTCCTTCGCGAAACATTCCTGTAAGTAAATTATAGATTCTAGTGTTGTTTAAAAGTTTTAAAATTTATGTTCACAGGACTATCCAGCAGCTCTGGTTTATAAAATAGTTTCTCGTGTTAAGACATCAAATTCTAAAATATATCGTGGTTCCCTCGCTCTAGTGCTCGCCGAGACAAGTCTCAAGGCTTTAACTCCTCGTCCCGTGTGTGTGACGTCACGTCATGTGGTAATGACGTCACTGGCGTAGAAGATGACGTCACGTCGTTCGTTTCCGAGGATGAGCCCTACGTGACGCGCAGCTGCGCGCATCACAGGTAGGGTTGCAGGCACGAACGTGTGTTCCTTCCAGCCAAGTACCCTCTCCGCTGTTCTATCCGCAGTTTGTGGGTTTTCCCAGCTTGGGTTCCAGCTGCTACGGGGGGGGGGGGGGGGGGGGGGTTCCAGCTGCTACGGGGGGGGGGGGGTTCCAGCTGCTACGGGGGGGAGGGGGGTTCCAGCTGCTACGGGGGGAGGGGGGGGGGTTCCAGCTGCTACGGGGGGGGGGGGGGGTGTTCCAGCTGCTACGGGGGGGGGGGGTGTTCTAGCTGCTACGGGGGGGGGGGGGGGGGTTCCAGGTGATACGGGGGGGGGGGGGGGGTTCCAGCTGCTACGGGGGGGGGGTGTTCCAGCTGCTACGGGGGGGTTCCAGCTGCTACGGGGGGGGGGGTGTTCCAGCTGCTACGGGGGGGGGGGGAGGGGGTTCCAGCTGCTACGGGGGGGGGTTCCAGCTGCTACGGGGGGGGGGTTCCAGCTGCTACGGGGGGGGGGGGAGGGTTCCAGCTGCTACGGGGGGGGGGGGCTGCTACAGTCTTAGTTTCTCCTTTAACAAACCCAACAAAGCCTTGAATGTTAAGAAACGTTAACCCTGTGTAAAATAGTACTCGCTAGAAGAAAATAATCTAAACTTAAATCTCAGCAGTCAGCTAGTTGTAGAAGGCCCACCAAGTTTATTCATTCTTGAGGCTGTCTCTACGCATCTATTTATTTGCATTGAGTTAATGCTCATCAATTTTCATGGGTTTTCATAGGATAAAATTGCTGAGTTCGCTATCTAATAGCTCGTTACACATGAATCACAACGCTTTGATTTTTGATAATTAGTGTTAGGAGCAAATTGTAAGATTATAAATATTAACCCCCTCCTCCTCCTCCTCAGCGACTCAGATAACAGCTCCAGAACTATGTCCGGTGACGGTCGTCTGGAGTTGGGCAGTGTGAACTCTCTGGGAAGAATACCTGACACATCTCACATCAGTTCCTCTTCCGCTTCCGGCTTTAAATGTAAGTTACACTTAATGCATTATAAGCTCTGTAATATTTTTTTAAATTCGTTTGTAATTGCAATTACTCAATTACCATATTATTAACATTGGGGATATTTAAACAAACTTTCAGACTCTTAACTGTAAACAAGCCTGTATTATTTCCCTGTTTTGCTACGACGTCCAGGTGGAGCCATGCCTGGTCCAGGTTTGTATAAAACCATGTGTCCAAATAAACCAATACTCTGCAGCTGCGGGAATCAGTAGAACACTTTCAACGGACAGCGAGAGGAGGACACAATCCGCCGACAGAGACCTAACTCCAAAGAGGCACGGTAGTCTCCGCCTGAAAAACAAAAGCGAATCTTTCGATCTCACCCCCAGGTAACGGACATAGTGATGAGTACACAGCATATTTGAATTGATCCACTTTTTAAAACTTAGCATTTTTCACGTACTCTGCTGTTTTCTCAATAAAAAACATGACATAACCTCTCGACGAGACATTAAGTTTGCAATGAAGGTCTCCTCAGGGTGGAAGCAAGGAGCATGGCACGGCCCCTTCCCCCGGGTACTCACGGGACGCCAGATCACCGGTCCGAACTCCGAGCAGATCACCGACCACCCCCGAGCATGTTAGGTACCTCATCGAGCCTCAGCGCACAGTCGTTATTAAACTCCACGACCGCAAATCGAGCACATGAGGTAAGTTTTCCGATTTCTGCCTTCTGGTGATATAATGTGTTCTCATCATGCCCTATTTTCTTGTAATTTTCATAACATTTTCTTATAATCAAAAAAAAAATTATATTACATAGTACATACATTAGTACATACATTAGTACATACATTAGTACATACTAATAACTTAATATATTTTCCGTGTATATGATTTTAAGATATTTCTAACACCAAAACCCACCCTCAGGTGTTATCAGACCCACCAAGTGCATTTCGGCAATACAACAACAATCCTGCAGCTGCACCAACCCTGCCGCCGCGCAACCACCGCCACCACGACATGTCGTCACGACACCACGACATGTCGTCACGACACCACGACACCTCCTCTACCTCATCCAGACAACAACTACAAGACTCTAGCAACTACTGCTCAGACTCGGAGTTTAGGCCGAGGTCGTCAGCTAGTTCCGTTTCGGAGGGTTACTCGCAGCGGGGAATTCACGATGAGGATCCCAGGAACAGCTCGTACTATGAGTACGGGTGTGTTTGAGCAGATCACGTGTGAGGATCGCGTGTCATCAGATTGAGGTATCGGGGACTCTCATCCATTTTTTAATTTAGCTTCAAGAAGTTGTTGTGGGGAAATTGTGGTTGGCATTTTTGAAGTGCCGTGTTACGATTTTGAGGAGTCATCAACAATAAAGTATTATTTTTGGGCTGTCTCTGTATAAAGTTACGATAACATATAGTGACTACATCTTGTAGTCCTAGGCTGTTTCTTTTTTATCCATTTTTATCTGTTACAAGCTTTAAATAATCGTAAATAGAATTGGCCGCTTACTGCAACTGTTTTTAGTCCTTTTTTCTCTATAATTTAGGGATTAGATTTTGGAATAGAACGTTGCAAACTTGACAACTATGGGCTTGTCAACATATTCTAGAGATTAGGGCACGGAACTTTTTATTGTATAATGAGTTCAAATGTGTTAAAATTTGACGCCATTAATTTTTACAATCTTATCGAGAATGAGAATAGTTTGAATTTTCTTGTGCCCTGGTTTGATGGTTTATGTGCTTGTATTGAATTTGACATGACTTGTTAAGTTTTAATTTATATTCGTGAAGGCTGTGATTTGTAATGATAGCCATTGAAGTTAGATGAACGATGACCATATAACTGAAAACACCTTTATGATAGAAAGAACGATAAAATTACAAGAAAGTTAATTCTTGCGATATTTAAGACCATACATTACAATTTTAAAGTTTATCGGCATCTTGCCTTTTATTTAACTCCATTTTGAGATGCAACTCATTTTTCATATTTCAGAAGTGCTGTGCTGAAAACACACAAGGAATCGCAAATTTAAATATTATTTCGATGTATTTGTGGACGCTAAATATTGAATTATAAAAATACATTTGCTGGAAGATGGGCATTCCGGAATTTATTTATAGTCAAAAATTGTTTTGTTTGTAAGCGACTGATTCGACCATTCAGTTGATTGACGATGCCAATCTGTTCTTAAGGGGACATACATGTTAAAGACTGCTGTTGGTGTAAATGACTCCGGGTTCGAGCTAACCTCATCAATACGCTAGGGAGGGAGCCGTACTAGGATAATTGATACTGGATGCTCATACGTAGTGCGATTATTAATGCTGATCACGTCTATATACTTTAGTGATTATGATATACTTAGAACTGTAACCTAGGTTAGTGAATATTTTTGACATCATTTAATTACTATTACTTGATTCTAAGCCATGAGCAAAAAAACGGCCATTCCTAATGCTAAGGGTTACAAAATACAAAATGATGACACTAAAATTGTTGGTTAAAGTAACCCGTAAAACAAATACGGTAGACACTCTTAGTTACAGAGAGAGTGAACTACAATGAATAATATATATCAATCCCTTTCCTAACTAAGGTTATGACAGTCAATCCACATCGTGATTGTGCTGCTGAACTCTGCTAAACTCTGCTAAACTCTGCTGCTAAAAGACCCCGCTGTTTTGGAAGTTAAGTCGCTTTAAATAGTCGCGTGAGTGATCATTTGACACACGTGCTTGAGTGATCATGTGACAGTGATTTTGTGATAATGTAACTGAAGCGGCTACGAGGTACGTGATAATTTGAGAGTGGTGATATCTCGCAGGTCTCCGCCTCGAAGACTGCTCGCCTGTACCAGGGCTGTCAATGTCTTATGAGGTGGTTGAACCGCTTCAATTGTGGATTGGGATAACGATAAGGATCTTGATTTTGATACTTAATTTAATAACAGCCGTTACCAGCTGTCATATAATGGGAGAACTATAGGTCTTTTTAAGTGGGGCACAGGATGAATTTGCAGGGTGCTATTTTCAATGTCAGCAAGAAGCTATACATTTACCTGGGGACCTCAGGCTATCATGTTTATAAATAGAGATTAGGCGGAATGACAGGCTGAGCGCGGCCCAGTAACTATACATGTGTGAGGTGATAACAATAAGTAGGTGTGAATGGATGAGTGTACTAAGTTCACTTGTCACGCCGTGTTGCATTTTAAAGAGCTTGACAGGCCGCCCCATTTGAAGAGACTCATAGGCTAGCAAGCAGATAAAGGCCTAAATGGCAGATTGATTATCTTTAGGTAGACCTGTCGTGTGTCGACTATGGATGAATCCGTGTGGCCGTGTGGCATGTAATACTAATGGTTGATACCGTATACTAATACAGCAGTGTTCCCGTCAGCAGGACCGTCGACGAGTCCTGGTAGGTTGTAAACCTACAAGTGTATACTGCGTGACGCGTATACTGCGTAACGTATTTGACCAAAACCCATAATCATGGGTAGAGTGAACCGCTGCCAGTGTCTCTCTTTTCCGAACAAAAGGAAATGATATTAATTTGAGGAACCGTCCGCAAATGCTAATTGATAGTTGATACCGAGAATGAAATCGGTCGCTCGCTTTTCCCATTCATTCACGGCTTACGAATTGTAATAAAGCTTAGGTATGATTATGGGTTTTGGTCAAATATCATCTCTTTTTGATTATAATGTGAGGATAATTTACACAGTCGAAACTTCATTAATAAGGAGTTAATTTCAACGATTTCGAAATTTTACCTTTGAAAACATTTCCTTGTGTTTAGGTAGGTATATCTGTCGATAACAGACTGAATATGGCACTTTTTACTCATTCAAGTTGGCATTTAGTTCATACATAATGCCATTTAAATATCGTGGGAAAGCAGAATATATTCGAAATCACGAATGAGCAAAATTCTCACCTTTCGCACGTGCAAACTTTGAGCGGGCGTTGCGTGCGCATACAATATTGAATCACCGTACATTTTTGCATAGTGGTATTTAATATATAGTTTGATAAGCATGCAAAGTTCAGAAGATTTCAAAAAGAACTTGAAACACAACGGGACTCCAAAGTTGATAAAAAATCGTGAAAATAACAATTTTCAGTGATATAAGCTATTTTAAATCAATTTGGGCGTGTCCCCACGTGTGCAACTTTTAGATTTTCAACTTTAAAACTAGCCTATAACACAATTTAGACCTTTAAGAAGCAAAATTGAGCTCCACAACCCAAGGGATGGTCCAACACCAGAGAATACTAATTCACAACTTTTGTGTTTTTATAAAATTATTCTTCAAAAAAGCACTAACTTCAAGTTCAATAGAGAATATCTTTATGAAGGAGCAAAGTAAGAAACTTTTCCGGTAGATTTTCAGAATGCTTGAACAATTATCCTCAGATTTTGTCCTCAGATTTTGAATAAAATTACTCCTTAATGGTTTAAAATCAATTTTAAAAGTTGTTACTTTGTCAAAAATCAAGTTTTAAAAACACTTAATTTGATGACGTCATCAAGTGATGATGATGAAGATAAATTATTTTTTGTTATAAATATAATGTAAACTAAAGTATAAACAATTATCTTTAAAACCTGTGGTTCGAAATGACTGTATCTTTTATACTTTTGAATCTACGGACACTTAAATGTAGGCTACAATTGACTGCCAAAGCGTCTGCCAAAGCGTCTATACATATGCTTCACGACAATCTGTTGTAAAACAGGGGTTCCAGAAAACCCACTTCCCGGTACTCCTGAAACTTGAAACTTTTTTACAGTCGATTTGGACAAGGTCTAGACGCCCTGCAAAGTTTCAGATCTCTAACTTAATTTTAACATGGTTTTTAAGGCACCTGAATATGGCGATGTTGGGTTTTTTTACCTAATTTCGTATAACATGCTGGCGCGTATTTTGCGCAAATTTCTTAAGAACCTCCACATAACTATTTTTTATTCCTGTCATCTTTAACATTGAATTGGAATGTTTTGAACTTAAATATACCTGCTGAACTACTTTCGATGAGTCTTATTGCCTGGAAAACAATAAAGGGGATATAATAGTATAGGGGGTAAATAGTGTTGTGAATATAAGGGCAACGGTTATGCTTACCAGCATTGTGATGTGTATACGTACTGCGTGACGCGCTTGTTTCACAAATATCCTTTGCCGGTCGCGCGCTACTGCAAGCGAGAGGGCTCTGGTTAGAGCAAATACAATTACACTACAATTGGTGAATAAAGAATCTAAATGAAATTCGCAATGTTCGCCTCGATAGTTGACACAGTGAAAACCATGACCATCCATAACAGTAGACACATGGCTATGTGAATGTGCGGTCGCGGTGGCGCTTTTTTCAAGCTGCCTGAACAAGTGAACAGGATACGCGAAAGGAGCGAACAACAGTAAATAAACTAACAAGCTAGGTAAACACTACACATGCGTGCGTGGCACTTGATTCACGATGTCAATCCTTCGCATCTCGCCGATCTGCATACGGTGGTGGTTGCGAGAAGCATTATTTGATGCGCGCGCGACCCAGTAGTGCATCGCGCTACAAGCGTGGCACTCGAATAAATCAGTATATTACTTTAAAAATGTGACTCAATCTATGATCTAAGCTAAAAATTGAAGGGCTTCGACGCGCCGCGCGCATTATCAATTATTATAATGCAATTGTTTTGCTTAAAATATCGTCGCAAAGAGATGGCAAAAAGCTTGCACGTGTTTGCATCGTCATATTAATCAACTTTGTAGCGCGATGCACTTCTGGGTGCGCGCCACTGGATAGAGCAAGATTTATACTTGTATCACGTTACCTGGGGACCTCAGGCTATCATGTTTATAAACATTTTTTTATTTGAAAATTCAATTAATTATTATATATACAAATCAAGCGTTACATTTCAGCCATGCAAAATTACAATGACATATTTTAATATTCTAATTGAAAAATGGTGCTGCAATATAAGTTGCTTAATGTTTGGCCGGATGACAACTAACTAAAAGAAAAAAATAAACTTGATTACATACTAATTAATTCAGCTGAACCAACACATAGCAAAAGCCACATTAACGTTGGGGCCGTCTACCAAATTTGAATGACATACAAAAACAAGAAATTAAACATATCATAAATAATTAGATATGGATTTTGTTCATTACAATTCCGTCACAACTGATAGAAGAAAAAGAAGGACAAGCAGATAGGAAATTGGACGGAGAGAATTGTAACCAACAAAAACACATTTCTGAGACTAGTCTGGCCAGACTGTATCGGCAGCCCCGAGGTACTTGATCAGATTGGCCTTAAAAGTAGAAATCCGCTCTGACTGCCGGATACATACTGGTAGACTATTCCATTTCAGCATAGATCTATAAAAGAAGCTATTTCGGAAGGCATCTGAGCAGGGCACAGTGGTACTCATGTAAGTTGAAGTATCCGACCTATCAATTATTTGAGCATTGTGCCTAGTACGTATCGGGTGCCCTCTGGACGGCATAGGACTATATAAGTAGGAAGCGAAACTGGGATTATGCTATTCACTATTTTATAGAAGGTCATAAGATCGTTATAAATAAACTTCTGCATGACAGGGAGAATATTTAGCTTCTTTTGCTCTGTAGCAAGTTTATCGTCATTATAACTGGAGTAGGGTTCACCATTGATCCATTTAATAGCCCTCTTTTGGATAGCAATAAACTGTTGAAGATGAGTTGCAGATTGAGGGGACCATATGACAGAACAATGTTCAAATATAGACCTAATTAACGCCAAATAGAACAATCGATAGTCAAAGAAAATGTATACAAAATAACATAAAAATAAAATATACCCAATAGAGCACATAACATATGACGAGACAGAAGACAGGACAACAAATTTTCCCCGTTACCTCTATTACTTTTACTCAATGAAACTAATAAATCAATGAAACTAATAAATCAATGTTTTAGCTCATTTTACAAAGTCAAATATTTAAAACAATTAAAATTGTATAGTGCTCAATTTGTAAATGACTAGTTGATCTTTGCTATTGGAAGTTTGTCAAGGACTGGCAGCTAGCGGGGGCAAGGAATGCACGGGCTTAGGGGCTTTTGTGCACACCAG